GCCATTGTTTCAGGACAAGATACACTATTTTTGAAAGAGTATCATGTATCTAGGTGGAGAGTATCTATCAAAAGTCCATTACAATGGTTTGGATCTTGAGTATTCCCCAAAGGCCCATGTGTTAAGGCTTGGTTCCAAGCTTTGTGCTATTGAGAGGTGGTGCAACCTTTGGGAGGTAGGACCCAGTGGAAGGAGGGGATGTCACTGGGCAAAGTCCTTGAAGGGATATTGGAGCAGTCTGTTTTCTCTGTTTCTGCTTCCTGGATACCATGAGGTAAAATTATTTTTTTGTCACTTGCTCCCACTGTGAGGCACTGGGCTTCCACAGGCCCAATACAACCCACATAAGCAACCGTGAATGGACACCTCTGAAACCATGAGCAAAAACAAATCTTTGCTCTTGGTTCATTGATTAACTTATGGATTTGGTCACAGTGCCTGAAAGCTGACTAACACTTGTTCAAGATGCTTATGTAGGACATGATGCCTCCTTACTGGAAGACATTTCAATACAGAAGACAAACACATGAGGAGACACATCATGTCCATTGTGAAAAACACTGAGTGTCGGATTTCATGTCTCCCCAGTCTACAACCTATGTTTATAGATTCACTGGTTTCCAACAAAAATCTCATGAGCGTTAAAAAAGAAGAATCCTAAGAAGTGGAGTCTAACAAGTATCTTGATGAACAGCAGGCCAAGAATATCCAGGAGCCCCTGAAGCAGAAAAGGTGACCCTCACGTGTCCAGTTGTGGATGTTCTGACACCTGCATACGGAGAGTCTTTACACTGGAACAGAGAAGGAGAGGGAGGGGAGCAGGGAGGCTATGATGCAGCCTTTCCTGGCAGAGCAAGCCCTGCCTGGAAGTGGGGTGGGGCACACTGATGTTATTGTGGTCGCACCAGATGTCACATGAGAAATTGACACAGGATGCATAAATACAGAGACATATCAGAAATGCACATCAGATGACTGAGGTCACAGCTGTGAAAGACAGCACATTAAAACGTGTGCAATTCATGTGTCTTGATGTAGGGAGAATTGGGAGGGCTTTTGGAATTTTAACTCATTTGATAGTAAAGTTAATGTTTATCTCCGCCCCAAATAATACCACGAACAAACATTTCAAGCAGGTAATTGTAACACATATGGCAAAAACCTCTATCTAAGTCTGTAATTGAAACATACCAATCCAAATGGGCGTGAAAACACAGAAGCAGATTTTGCAGAAAGAAAATAGGCAAAGATAAGCAACATAGTTTAGTGAATCCTGACCAGAAAATGAAACTAGAAAGCAATAAACTTAGAGTATTACTTTGGAAGGGAAGGATGATGAGCTTTTGGTGAGTTATGCACTGTGAGGGGAGGTTTCCTATATATGTGCTTATTTTATTATTTTTCAGCTGTTATGGGTACTTGTTTGTCATAGAACAAGAATTAGAGTAGCAATTGGTTGGTCCTGGGGTCATTTCTCTGGCTTCTCCCTGCTGAGAGCTTTTTCCCTGAGACCTGGGACTGGCTACACTGGGCACTGTCCCCAGAGTGGGCTGGCCCAGCTACCAGGCAGTCCCAAAGCAGATGTCTTCCTGAGGGACCCTGCACTGGAGCCCATCTCTGCTGCCCATCCCCTGTCCTGAGTGTGGGTCTCTCTCAATGTAGTGCATGGCCTTTGATGATCTGGAGACAGGTTTGTCTGTACCACAGCCTGAATGGCATGGCAGGTGAGGCTGTCAGGGAAGACTGTGGTGTGTGCCTGTCTCCCTGCAGGACCTGAAAGGACAGCTGGACAACAAGACCCCAGGAAACTACACTTGTGCAGGTGGCCTGGCTGGACCCTCTGGCCACCCCTTGGCCACTCTCTGCAGCCTGTGATCCAGGCCTCCAGGAGAGCACATCTGTGCCCTCCCACTGTGTAGGCTTCTCTCTGCCATTCCTGCCTCATCTCTTTTCCCACCCCCATTAAGTTTATTGGTACATTTTAGGTATACAATACAGTTACATTCATCATTGGGTGCTTATACCTTTACATGAGTATCTTGATTCTTATTTTTTCCCCTTCATCTGCCCTCCCTTCACCTCCTCCACTCTTCCCTATTTGCAAAGACTTCGTTTCCATTTTTTTCCTTTTCTCATATTTTTTCTTTTCCCTTTCCTTTCCCCTACCCCTCCCACTTCCCTTGCTCCTTTAGACCTTTTCTTCCTATTGCACAATATCAATTATATGTTTTTAAAATTACAATATCAAGACCTAGGAGATATTAACACAGATTTTACAGAATTTAAAAGGATATGGAAAGCATATTTCAAAACTCTGTTTTGAAATAAATTTGACAACTTCTAAGAAGTACCTTGGAAGACAAATTAATGAAACTAACTCTGGAGGAAATATAAAATTTGAATAGCACCTATTAAAGAAAGTATATTCCTAGCTTGAAAACCTACCTATATGACAACAGCAGGCTCATACACATTTTAACTGATAAATTATATCAAATAATTAAAGCAGAAAAAAGAAGGAACACTTCTCCCCTCATTTTAGAAAATCAACATTGTGCTAATCCTAAAACTAGATAAAGACAATAGAAGAAAAAAGTATGAACATAGATAGAAATTTGTTTAACAAAACAAATGATTAGAAGTCAGATCTGGCAGTCTGTGGAAGGTGGCTTTGTTATAGGGATCCGCCTCCTCTCTAAGCTCTGGATGACCCTGCCACACCCTGGGAAGGAGCACTCCTCTGCTTCTTTTCTCTGCTCTCCACAGGAGACATCACAGCCTGTGTCCCAGGCAGCCCAGGCATGCAGGGGCCTTCCTGTGACCTGGGGCTGGTGTGGCCACTGCCTACCCACATTCTTGGCCACCCTCTCCCTCTGAGGCAGGACTGCTGCTGTCTCACCAGAGCCGAGCCATGGGATCCTGCCACCCTTCTCAGTGTAAGCACTGCATTCTTCCTTGTTGGATGAGCTTAAAACAAAAATATGTCCTTGATTTCTCTTCTCCACTCCCCCCCCCCACTCATCTAGTTATTTTCATGTCACCCTCCCATTTCTGGCCCCTTTCCAAGTATAGCATGGTCTCCTGTTTCACTCAGCCAGAATGGTCCTTTGATTGCCTATCTTAGGGCACTCTTTGCTTAAACCTTGCTATTGATCTTTGAGTCTCAGAGGAAAGTCAAATGCCTCAAATGTCCTTAGGCCTTATTTTCTCTGACCTTTACTCTGCCATCTCCACTGCATGTGCATCTTCTCCCAGCCATCCCCAGAATGCTCCTGCCTCAGGACCTTTGTGCCCGTAGTTCCCTCTGGGTGAGGCCAGCTTCCTTCTGATGGAAGTGCCTGCACATCCCTTAACAGAGCCACAATGACTTGGATCTCCTGAATTAGGTCTTCTTGGATCATCCCATTGGAAAAGCATCTCTTGCCTCCTCTTGGCTAGTGTTTCTTCATTATGCTACCTGCCATCATGTATATTTTATGTTTCTATGCGTCTCTCCTCCAGAATGCAGATTTCTTTAGACTCCTGTTTGTTCTCCACCTTATCTGTTCTAGTTTTCTACTCCTGCAGTTACAAATTTTCACAAATGTAGCAGTTAAAAATAGCACATTTGGGCCAGGGATTTAGCTCAGTGGTTCCACTGCCTGCCTCAAAAGCGCAAGGACCCGAGTTCGATATCCGGTACCAAAAAAAAAAAACCGAAACAAAAAATAGCACATCTGTCATCTCTTGATTCTATCAACCAAGAGTCTAGTGGGCTTGGCTGCTTTCTCAAGTCTGGGTCTGAAGAGGACAAATCATGGGTGGCCCAGGTCTTCTCTATGGGCTCTGGGGTGAATCTCCTCCCGGCACGTCAGGTTTGGGATAGGTTTCAGGTCTGTGCATCCCGGGGTGGGGAAGTGCTTGTGTCCTTGTGACTGTCCCTGGGGGAGTCTTGTCTTTGGGAGGCTATCCATTCCAGGCTTCATGTCCAGCAGTGGCCAGGCAAGTTCTTTTTCTGTGCTTTAAAGCACTGCAACCACTCCAGCTGGAGAAAGTTAGCTGTCATGATTAGATTGGGCCCACTGGGATAATCCAGGATAATTTTACAGTCTTAAGGTCAGACATCTAGAGCCCATCTGCACAAGGCCTTTGCCATGTAAGGTGACACTTGCACAGGTGTGACACCAGGGGGCGCAGCCCCTGCCCACCCTGCCCTGCTCCCTCCCAGGACAGCAGCGCCTGTTGCAGAGGTAGCTTTAGACTCCAAACTTGCCACACATGGCCTTTGCCAGCTAGTAATATGGCCCCCAAGATTATAAATGTTTAACGCTTTTATGTGCTTTTTAGCAATATTTTTAACGAACTGACTGTGCATTGCTTGAGCGTGGACTGGGTAGGCAGTGACGGAACCAGTTGCTGATGCATTAGTTTCACGAAACAAGGTCAAATACCCCACTAGCTTTATGTTTATGTTTCCTTCTTTTTAATGTCATATCAAGTATTCTTTAAAGACAGTTTTGTTACTAATGTGCTATAGTATATATTTTATATGGGCCCAAGACAAGTCCCTATTACTCAGCATGGGAGATAGTCATGAACATGGTGAGGACCACGGTCAGGGCTCCACACAGATGTGCCACTGTAAAGGACACTGAGTCACAGCAGAGCCCTGGAAGAAGTTTCTGGTGTTACCACATTCTGCAACTGAAAAAACAGGGCACAGAGAATAAGTGACTTGCCGGGGTCGCAGAGCTGAAGGGAACAGGCCCTGGGCTCAGGGCTGGGCTCTCGCTGGCTGCACTGGAGGAGAAAACACCAAGGAGCACTGGGCCCTGGCTTCTGCTCCCAGACCATTTCCAATGGGAAGGTCCTGAATCAAGGTGACATCTATCCTGGCCCATCTCAGCATTCTTGACTTTCCAAACTGCCCTTCATCTCTTGTGCTGCTTTTGTCAATATCTTTGTGTTTTCATGGCCCGCAGTGACTCCTTGCCTGTGCCCTTTCTGCCCATCCCCTACAGATGCATACCCTAACTCTGAAGTCATCTATGTCTGGACCAATGGCTCCACCAAGTCTGTGGTAGTGGCAGAAGATGGCTCCAGGCTGAACCAGTACCACCTCATGGGGCAGACGGTGGGTACTGAGAACATCAGCACCAGCACAGGTAAGTGTCTGCATGGGCCACTGTACCGGGGACCTGCAAGGATCTCCAGCTCTATATCCCATGCTGGAGGGGACACACTGGCCACAAACAGGACCCCTTGGCCAGCTGCACTCCCTTAGCAGCACAGCTGCCATGCTTCAGGGCCCTCCATGCAGCTGTTCACAGAGCTACCAGCTGCAGCTGCCAGGGGGTTGAAGGGGGATGCGAAGGATCATCTGCAGTGCATCTGCCACCTTGGGAACAGACCCTGCCCCAGGCATGTGACATGCTTACATAACACTGCTGCCCACAGAGACACCAGGCTGTCTCTGAAGGAAAGGCAGGTGCTTTCTGCACATTCTCCCAGCTGCCTGCTCCCCTGCATTCTGCTCTGCATATTTAGAGACCTCCCTGGGCCTGAATCTGGGAAGCACCACCCAGCGGCATGGAAAGAGTAGCTGAGTTGGTACAGAGGAAGCAGAAGCTCTGCTCTCAATCCCAAAGGTGGGGCAGCCTGAGCCCACAGGGTAACCCAAGCCTGGCTTCCCTGATACAATAGTTGGAGTCCAAAGGACTCCAAGCATGCACTTGCCCTTTGGGGCCTTCAGGCTATGTTGTCAGACACCTCCTGGCATTGGCAGGCCCAGCCCCAGAGGTCATCAGGTGGTAGGAGTGGGGGCTTAGGGCTGCACAAAGTTTTCTGTCATTGCGGAGGAGAAAAGCCTAAAGGGTTGGAGGTTGCCCTGAATGCAGAATGAGGTCTAAGCCTCAGAGGGCATCCTCAGGGGAGGCCCTGGTCACATCTCTGCTGGTTCATCTTGGCAGCTGGCAGGATGCACACGAACATTTGGGGAATAGCCTGCTCTGCATATACAGGCACCCACATGGGACAGGCACCCACATGGGGCAGGCCCTGCCCAGCTGTGTGCATGGGGCACCCTGAGGGGCGTCAGAGAGCCTGAGGGATAGGGTCACCATTTGGTCACCGTTTTGCTGCATGGAAAGGATGCAGAAACAGGCCTGATTTTATGGAAATGAGTGAAAGCACTTTATGGCAGAAGTTTGGAGTGAAGAATTGTGGTAGCAAAAAGATGTCACTGTTTGGAGTTATTTTTATACAGCTCTTTAAAAAACTTACAACTGAGGTTTTGACTCCTGTTTACACTCTAAGAAAACACTTTTAAAACATTATCTAATTTTCCTACTTCCAATTCAGAATGAACACAAGAAGAATGAAGAGAACTATTTCAAGCTCTACTGTAAAGGAGAATGGGAGGGATTTCACACCTTCCAGTGTTAAAGAGAGGCAATGTTGGATCATTGTTAAAGATCTCATTGTTGGTACCCAACCCACTCATGCCTTCTTCCTGCCCCACTGCAGCCTTCAGGGCATCATTCCCCTGCTCTATCCTACCCTGGGGTATGTGAAACGATCCCCACTCCACAGCGCCTCTCAGGGGCTGCTGAGAATATGGGCTTCCTTCTGTAAGGACAGATTTCTACCACCCATGATCTTGACAGTTCCATCATCTCTGATGTACGATATGTGAGCAAAGCACACGGGGCATCCACAGCTAGCCTTGCAGTAGCACAGGGTCTGTCATCAGCCTCCAGTGCCCCAACTCTGCTCTTACAGCTGGAAGACCACTCCCCTCACAGAGGAGACCCCACCTAGGGTCCAAGCAGTGAGTCTCCAGGCTTCTTCCTCCCATGTTTATATACAACCCAGGTCCCAAGCCACACTGTCCACTCCCTGCCATGCAGCTGAGGAGTTTGGTCCTCATATCAGCTCAGCTTAACCTCCGCTCAAAAGCATCCTTGCCATCTCCCCAGGGAAGATGCACATTCAAGTAGCAGGGAGATGTCCAACAGCCCCACTCCCACTTGCATCAGCAGCCTGGCCACCCCAGCTCCTTACTAGTTAACCATCAGGACAGCATTGTTCTCAGCAAAGAACGGGAGGTCTCCACTTGCCTTCCACACAGCCAGGCAAATGCAGAGAAGGAACTGGGACATTGCCAAGGAAATGTGCCCGAGTCTAAAGCTTGGAGGGTGCTCGTCTCTCTGGTGGGTGGCAAGAGGGATGAGCTGCCAGGATCTGTGGGTCCTGAGTTGCTGTTCCTCACCCTCCAATGGACTGGGCAAGCATAGACCTTGGGGTACAGTGGTTGTCCCACCTCCCTGGAGCATCCCCAGCTGGGAAATGGGAAGGATCTGTGAGAGCTGTGAGATGTCCTGAGTTATATAGGCAAGGCTAAATCCTGAAATGCTGATCGCAGTAGCAGGCAAGGGGGCAGATGGGAGCAGAGATTGTGACCAGGGATTAGTAAACACACAAATCTGATTTTCCCTGGGAAGAACAGCCATCAGCTAAGGCTCTTCAGAGACTGGCTGTCAAGAGACTTATGAAAGGATGGATAAGAGAGTCATACATCTTCCTCCATCCTCTCTCTAACTAATATAATTCAAATAAAGACCTGACTTGAAGGACAGGTGAAAGTAAGCCCCCATGAACCATGAACTCTTCTGTCTAGAGCAGGACTGTAGATACCTAAGGGCCCTAATATGCATTATTTGCATGTCTGCAGGTGAATACACAATTATGACGGCGCATTTCCACCTGAAAAGGAAGATTGGCTACTTTGTCATCCAGACCTACCTTCCCTGCATAATGACAGTAATCTTGTCCCAGGTGTCCTTTTGGCTAAACAGAGAATCTGTCCCAGCCAGGACAGTTTTTGGTGAGTGACCCCCAGCCAGGCCTGGACAGCAGTGTTTTGTAACTGATCCTAACCACCCCAGAGCAACAAAAACCACTGCCACTGCAGTAGTTCAGACCTTCAGTGTCTTCGAGAGGCTCTTGTATTATAGGCTTGGTCTGAAGCTCTGGGGATTTTCAAAGGTGGGAGAACCTTTAGGAGGTGTAGCCCAGCAGGAAGAAGTTAGGTCCCTGGGCTTTGCCATTGAAAGGGACACTGGGATCTGGGCCCTTCCTCTTTCTGTCTTTGCCCCCAGCCACCATGAAGTGGGCAGCTGTTCTAGCTGCCCTCCTGCCAGGAGGTGCTGCTTCATGGCTCAGAAGCAACAGGGCCAGTCTACCCTGGTCTGAGATTTCCAGAACAGTGAGACAAAATACATCTGTACTGTTTTCAAGTTGTCTGCCTCAAGTAATTTATTACAGTAACAAAATCCTAACTAACACAATCTACTAAACTTCTAGTGCTGCCTATAAATTTTTTGTCCTGGGAACCAAATTAACCAATTAGTTAAACATGTAACTTTTGGAATAGAAGGTAGGATTTCACCCTGAATGAGAATTTTGGGAATAATATGTGGTTTACTTAATAATTATTTCCATTTTGAAAAACTTTTTAAAAATAACTTTTCTTGTAAGATCTAAAACTGCCACCACATACTTGTCTTATGAGAGATTTTGCTATGGTATTTTTATAGTGCTTGTAAAGTACCACTTTGTAAGTTATCCAACAGTTTCCTTGGAAATGCATGTATCACTTGAAAATTAACCATGTGTTAATTTTGAATTAAACACACACACAGTCATCTCTGTGTAGCCATAAGTTCTGCATCCTGAGATTCAACCAAACCACATTGGTTAAAAAGAACTGAATTTGTAAAGAACATGTACAGACCATTTCTCTTGTCATTAGTGCCTAAAAATACAGTGTAAGAAGTATTTCCATAGCATTTGCATTATATTAGATTTATAAGCCATCTAGATGATTTATAGTGAACAAGAGAATGCATATAAATTATATGCAAATAACCCTTGCTATTTTCTATAAGGCACTTGATCACCAAGTCCTTTGGATTCCAAGGGGTTCCTGGGACCAAATCTCCACAGATACTTAAGGGCAACTGCATGTAATAAGAATCTAGAACATCATTATTTTACATCCCTCAGATATAATTACAGAAAACTCTAACTTCAGAGATATTTTGGTACAGGGAAGTGGATGTGGATGTGGTTGGCCATCATTGATTCTCTTATGCATGTTGCTTTAGTCAGCTTTCCCTTACTGTAACAGAATACTTGAGATAATCAATTAGCAAGACAAAAGGTTTACCTCACAGTTTTGAAGCTTTCAGCTTAAGGTCAATTGGTCTCATTGCCTTGGGACCTATGGTGAGGCAGCATATCATGGTGGGAATGTGTAGGAAAACTACCCCATGGGCAAGATGGGGGTGGGGTTAGAGTCAGAGACAGAGAGAGACAGAGAGAGAGACCAGGGTTCTATGATTCCTACAGGAGCAGGTTCCCAGTGACCTAACTTCCTCCCTTGTGCTTCACGTCCTGAAGGTTCCACCACCTCCTAACAGCACCATGGACAGGGCCAAGCCTTCAACACTTAGCCAAACTGCAGTGCTCATTCTCATTCAGTTCAGGAGGGGACACAAAAGGCAATTCCTCAGTTCAGTTGGGATGTGCACACCTTCCTGTACTGTAAAGTGCATTTCCACGTTAGCTTTTTCTGTTGCAGTTTTCTCTCCAAAGAAGGAAGACATGCACATCCATTTCATTTTAAGAATTTCCACAGCGTGCAGGAAGCCCAAAAGCCTGCAGACTTTATTGGTGAAGGCACAGGAGCATCCCTGCCTGCCCACCACTCCACTCCCAACAGCACACCCACCCTGCTTTCCTCCATGCCTTAACTCCAGGATATTTTAGGAAGATGTGGACATTGGCCCAGGGCAGAGCAGTGCTCCCCAAGTTAATGGACCTCATATAGTCTTTAGGGGAATTTTATGGGCGAGTGGTAGAAAATATTATCTGTTAGTTTATTTCCTACTGCAGTTCTTGGTGCATATTAGGATGTTAAAGACCCAAGAAGATGGAAGAGGCCTATTTAAGGTCATGTATGACACTCACGTGCACAGTGATTTGCTGGATTTCTAAACAACAACAAAAAAACAAAACCAAATCATAGTGTGAACCGATGTCTCATTAAGTCTTCATCCCATGCAGAGTTCCATGTTCAGTGAGTATATATGAGTACATTTGAAGGATGGCACGGGGTGAAAACTAGGAGCTGCTGTGACCTCAGTGGTAATCTGTCCTTTGATGCCATACTGTGGCTCCCATAACCTGGGTTGCTCAAACAGCTTAAACAGAAGTGAAAGCCTCATAGTTCCGAAGGCTGGGAGTCCACGATCAGAATGTGGGCAAGGGCGGTTCCTTCTGAGGGCTCTGAGGAGAATGTGTTCCTGGCCTCTGTCCTCGGTTTCTGGTACCTCTCTGGCCCACGGCAGCACAACTCTAGTTCTCACATGTGTTGGCCCTGAGTGCATGCTTTTCTCCGTATTTCCCCCTTTTTAAAGGACAGTAGTAATTTTAAGGATCCCCTAGTGGCTTCATTTTAACTCAATTGCTTCTTTAGTCTTTATTTCCAAATAAGTCCAGATGTGAGATGGTAGAGGCTAAGAATTCAATATATGAATGTTAAGGTAAAATCTGACCCAGAGCTGGTGCATGACAGCTACATGCCCAACAGTGGTGCACACTCAGCAGACAGAATGCTGTAGAAGGGAGGCAGGGTACACAACCGTGAGCTGCTCGGACTAAGAGTTCAAGGACCTGACTCCAAAGATGCTTTGTCTCATCCACCACAGGATGAATGTGGGTGCATTGACAAGCATCTTTAAATCTTCAGGCTCCTTTCTGAAAAATGGGGACAAGGAAACTGCAGCTTAGGTCACAGTCTGACAGTTCGTAGGTGCCCCAGAAGTGGTCTGTAAATGCCAGTCCTAAAGCAACATCTCTCACCAAGAAATGTGGCCTTTCTTTGTGGCCATTGCAACATTTCTACAGAGGCCACAGATGTCTGGCAGGCTGGATTAAAGTGAGCAGTCTCTTCTGTGTCTTTATCTATTCCATTTAGCAGTGCTGTGCTGGGGACCCCTGGGCTCTACTGACCCATTTCCACACTCCATTCTTCCCCTTCTTCCCCTGCAGGGGTGACCACAGTGCTGACCATGACAACACTCAGCATCAGTGCCCGCAACTCCCTGCCCAAAGTGGCCTATGCCACCGCCATGGACTGGTTCATTGCCGTGTGCTACGCATTTGTCTTCTCTGCGCTGATTGAGTTTGCCACAGTCAACTATTTTACAAAGAGAGGCTGGGCTTGGGATGGCAAAAAAGCCTTGGAAGCAGCCAAGATCAAGGTACTGGCTTTATTTTCCTCCTCTTTTCTTCTCTTTCAGGTCAACTTGACTGAGAAAATGTGCTTGATTCTGTGTCTACATGAGACAAAGATTTCTCCCCTCTTTCTCCCCAGCCCCAAAATGACCCCTTCCCTTATACTCAAGATCATTATAAATTCTTACTTGAAATAGGTCACTCATATGATTTATTTTCAGTTACCAATTTTATTCAAGCAAAAGGCCTAATGTGTGAATGGCTTGGGCTCAGTTATATTCAAGGCTATTATTCTTGCAAAGAAAACCCCTATTTATCCAGGGATGACTTGTCAGGGTTTTAATTGTACAGTTCCCTTTACTGCACTTTCATTTGGCACTTCACAGAGCAGTGCAAGGTGGCACTCATGAAGAGAACACAGAGCTTACTGGACATAGTCCATCAGCCAGACCCACCTAGTCCGCTACGTGACTTGGCTCACTGAAGCTGTGTGCATGAATTGTCTTGGAAAGTATTGCTCTGTTTGAAAGAATTATTTGTCAAGTATTTAACATGTGAGTTGTGCCCAAATCTAAGGAATGTTTGAGGCAGTAAAAGTTGCACAAGATTCCAACCTGAAGTATTTCTTTAGGGAAATTCTCACTACACCCTCACTCTCCGAGTTGAGTCTCAGAGTCTGACATGCCTGCCTCAGTGTCTGATGCTTGTAGCGCACAGAGCCTGTTTTGGGGATATTTTGGAAAGTTGGGGAAGCAGGACTGATCTGACTGGAGTGGATGATTGGAGGGGCTGTGGAAAACATGTGCAGGGAAAAGGTGCTCTCAGACTGTCCAGATGCCTCACCAAAGTATATGGACTTGCCTCTGCAGGCAGGAAACCCAAGGAGGGTATTTGTGAGGGGAGTGAGAGTGTTGTCTGGGGAAAGGGGCTTTCCAGCACCCTGCTTAGTGTTGCTCAATGGTGAATGTTTGCAGTTGCCTTGGTCTTTTATGGCCTCATGATGATAGACATGACCAAGTCTGAAGCAGAGGAGCTATTTAGACGTCACTGGATTAACTGAAGTTGTCAGGCCCATGGCTTCAAGTCTGAGAGGAAAGGGAAGCCCAGGTAAATGGAGACAATGAAAATGTTGTTGGATTTTGTTTTTGGATATTGTTGTTGACAGTGCTGCCATCACTGTTGTTACTAATCTGACTGCTCTAGATCTGAAGGGAGATCTGGAGGGAAGCAGGAAGAATGGGATAATGTGGATTGTCTGGTCTAATGCAGCACTGGTTCAGAATCAGCAGTGTGCCTCAATCAGCATTTTAGAATCCAAAACACTGTGCTGTTCCCTTTCCTGGAAGGCTGTGGGGCATGCAGATCTGAGCCTCTGTGCAGTGACAAGGTCTGAGGCAGTCATATCATTCTGCCAGACGTGGGCAGTGAGTGTGAATGGGTGAACCTCCTCTTAGTCTGCTTGTGTACTCACAAAATGACTGTAAATTAGAAGCAGGAGGAACTTGCAATCTAGACTGTGTTCTCCAATTTTTCATGTTGGGATTTTCAAAAGAAACTGGTGTCTCTGAGTTTGAGGTAAAAGTTGCTTTTAGGAGTGAGGACTTGGGAAGGGAAACAAGATGTAAGATTTGACAAAGGAAGGTGTTGCACTATGATGCTGGCCATGCAAAGCTAGGATAATGCATCCAGGAGAGCTGAGCAAGCCTTCCAGGGATGTGGCCAAGCTGTGCTGCTCCCACCTCACTGGCTATCACTGGTCCAGCTTTCCAGGAAGATGTGACTAGGAGCAGGCAGCACTCTACAGTGAGGCTGTCCCTGCAGGAGGTGACAGCTGGCTTCACTGCTGTATGTGAGTGGCATGCCCTTCCTGGAAGGGGTCCAGGGACACAGACTCATGTCCACCACAGGCCTGGGCTTCCCTGAGCCGTGTGGCTAGCTTCTGTTGCTCCTCCCTCCCAATTAAAAACAATTATTGTCAGGGCCAAGTTATGCAGTTGGCCCCTGTATCCATGGGTTCCCTATCCTTGGATTCAACCATCCCCCGAACAAAACTATTTGAGGATCAAAAACTTCTGTCCACACTGAACACATATAGCCTTTGTGTTGTCATTGTTTCCTAACCAATTCAGTATAAAAACTGTTTACATAATACTAGGCATTCTATATCATCTAGAGATGATCAAACACAGGAAGACGTGTACAGGTTGTAGGCAAATGACCCATCATTTTACAGAAGGGATTTGGTTCTTTGAGGTCCTCAGAACCACTGTTTCAAGGACACTGATGGACCACAGTATCTTCTAAGTGCCTCTCCCTGGTTACATCCAGAATTGAAAACCTTTCACAGAAGCAAGTCATGTTTAATGCTTTCTTCTGGCCGACTAGCACAGTGTTCATGTGATGGTGGGCATTGCTAACAGGCATCTCCTTCTGAAGGTGGTCTTTCCTCCCTCACAAGACCCCACAGAGTCCCCATGTTCCCTGCACCTGGATCAGCATTTCCTCTGCCTCCCTTTCCACCTGATTCCCATTGCACGGTTGCTTATCCTTTCTGCTGTCTTTTCCAAAGTTTGAAAGGTTGATATATTTTCTTTCCCTTACTATCACATGTTTTTCAAATTTTATTGGTGAGGTTATATTTCTTTGTTAATGAAACAGAGTTTTACCCAACATTTTGTTATGACTGTTTCCAAAACATACAACAACGTTTATATTTTTTTTACAATGAACACTATTAACATTTTACTGTGGTTATATTGTCCACATCTGTCACCTCTTTAGTCATCCATCCATCTTATCCCATCCATCAATCCATCTTATTTTTTGATGCATTTCAAAATAAATTCCAGATGGAAGTATTCCCATGAAGTAGGTCAGCATGTATATCATTAACTAGAGTTCAATATTAGTTTACTGTTTTATTCTCTTTAAGTAAAATTTACAGAACATGACATTCACAAGTATTGTGGCTACTGTTGCTGCATTTTGGCAAAAAACACATACTTGTGGGCCCGAGATCTTTATCAAATTAGAGAACATCATGAATTTCTAGAAAGTTTATTAAGCTTCCTTCAGGCAACTCCTGCCCTTGCATCTCCAAATGTAACTACTACTATAATTTTTCTCATTACAAATTGCCTTTCCTGTTCTAGCATTTCATACATATGAAAAATAAAAACATATGCTCTCAAAAAACAAAAATGTTCATAGCTGCTGAACCCATAAGAGTGAGGTATGGAAACACTCCAGTTATTCTTCAAGAGGAGACAAATGGTGATATATAGATACAAAAAATACTGCTCACCAACAAAAAGAATGAATGACTGGTACCATCAAGAACATGGATGATTCTCAAAACCATTAGGCTGAGGAAAAATACTCTACTCCAAACAGTACACAGTGTATGATTTCTTTTTTTTTTCTTTTTTTTTTTTGTGGTGCTGGGGATTAAACCCAGGGGCTTCACAGTGAGCTAAACCCCAAGTCCATTCTTTTATTTTTTGAGACAGGGTTTAGATACTTTGAGCAAGCTAGACTTGACCTTGCTATCCTCAGGCTCTGAGAATGCTGGAATCACAGGTGTGCACCTAGTTCATACTGTATGATTTAAAATCATTATCTTCCCCCTTTTTCTATAAGGAATTCCCTAGGGTTGCTCTCAAGATGGCCTTATGGCCATCTGTCACTGATGCACTTAAAAGTAAAGAAATGATTATTTTGTAGGGCAAAGGTAATCTTAATTAAGTTTATCTTATGTCCTTGGAAAATGCAAAATATTTCTGTAGGGCATGCCATATGCTTCCTGTCTGTTGGCTGTGTAGGCTTCTAGAAAAGGAAGTCAGTGGAGAGAATAAGCTGCCCTCGCCCAGGGCTGTGCTGATGTTTATCTCTTATGAGAGATACATCTTTAGACATCCAAAGTGATCTGGCCCTTGCCTGCACATCACACATCCTGACGTTTTTATTATATTTTGCAGAAAAAGGAACGTGAGCTCAAACTAAATAAGTCAACAAATGCTTACACTACTGGAAAGATGACCCACCCTCCAAACATCCCAAAGGAACAAATCCCAGCAGGGACCTCAAATGTATCTACGGTCTCTGTCAAGTCTTCCGAAGAGAAGATGGCTGAGAGCAAAAAGACTTACAACAGCATCAGCAAGATTGACAAGATGTCCCGAATCATATTTCCAGTCTTGTTCGGCACTTTCAACTTAGTTTACTGGGCAACATATTTGAATAGGGAGCCAGTGATTAAAGGAGCTGCCTCTCCCAAATAAGCAACTGTGCTCCACACTCCAAGGAAGCCATACTTCCAGCGAAGTGCAGAAGGACTCTCCGTATTTGGGCACTGTCTTTCAGGAAACTTTTGCATGTTTAATAATACATACAAATAATATTGCCTTGATGTTTGTATATGTAACTTCAGGTGTTTCAAATATGTCCCACTGACAAAGTAAACAACTTTATAGAAAACCAGGAGGCAATGACTAACATTCAGATGCTCAGAATCTTAACACTGATAGTTTACAAACAAGATAAGTATATTTTTAACTGTTCCAAGTGTTACCTAATGATGTTTTTTATACTTTGAATGTCATTTCATACAGAATTTCCCAGCAGATAAATATTTTAAGAAATGCTCCATTATTATTACTTGACCAACTACCACAGGAAACAAAGATCACAGAGAGCACATTTTTCATTAAAAGGAAACTGTGGACATTTATGTCCAAACTTAATTGCCTTTGATAATTCTTACTACTCTGAAATTAGAAAAGTACTGCATGATTTGACATAAAGAAGTAGAATAGGCTGCATTTATGGAGACAAATTTAATAGCAGAAACATATAGTATGTTAGAGTAGCAGATCAAGTATTTTCCCCAAGGAAAAACTTAATTGCTTAAAAATTCTTTTCTTTTGGGGGAGGGGGATTTATTTCCCATCCCACTCTAACCTCTCCACTAAATGAACAATGACCAAGGAAGAAAAAAAGTTGTTAAAACCGATTTTATGACCTTCTCAGCCATTGGGCCATGGCCCTCTGTCTCTGGAACCTTGACCACCTCCTGCTGCCGCCAGCCTGTAGAGTTTCAGTGGTGAGAAACTGTAACTGAGTTATTTTCCACCTGATTTCCTTGTATGTATTTCATCATTGACTTATTGCTCTGTTAGCTTTTGTATATGAATCTTGAATGTTCATTAAAAAATCTAAAAATGGACTGATCTTTGGAGTATGCATTATGTTTTTAAATTCAGATTTTAGTGGATTCACTTCCTAAAATGCTGTAAAGGAAACCTGTTATGAAATTGTTTGGAGAAGAAGAAATCAAACTTCTTCAGGATGTCCTGTATTCCAACATCATTCCATAGAGGAGCACTGGAGAGAAACGCTGTTTAGACATGGCCAGGGTGCAGAGGCCCATTCAGACAGGCTCCATGATGTGCCACATGGGGTGGTGCCTTTGGCCCTCCTTGGAGGACTCTTCCCTGTGTATGCTCACAGGAGAGTGCTGGTAGTGGGCATGGTGACTGGCTGGCTGGAGCCCTGTTGCCTTCCTGTAGCTCTGTGAACAGTAATGCAAAGTACTGAAATTGGGCCACCTACTTCTTGTTTGAAAAAACATCAACAGGTATAAAAGGAACAGGTCCTGCACAGGCATGACTCACTTGGAATTCTAGATTTGCAACAGGAGCTGTGACTGTTCACCAACAGTCCCGAAATGCCCATGCTCTTCACATATGCAAGATTTCCATTGCCCCCTCTGTAACTGGCTTCAGGACCTCACAGAAAATGCATTGAGCAGGAAGAGTGCTCTTAAGTGATTACACAAGAAGCATTTCCCTCTTAGAATGAAGATAATTTCTAAAATATAATGTATGTGCTCCACTGCACCTCAACATGAAAGTCTCCAAAACAACAAGCAAACAAGGCTCAATAGGAAGCTCCTGCTTTCTTGCTATTTACTCACATGTCTCTTGTATAACCTTGATAATTTACCTTTGCTAAGTAGTAGGAAGATAAAGATATTATAAGCCAGGTCCCAATGGCAACATGTATAAACATGCATTGTGAACATCCCAGTGGTAATGGAAAATGATGCCTTCCTCAGCAGCTTGTATGACTTGATATTTTCTAGCTTTTGATACAGAAGGTCTTTGCTGAGCTCCAGATTGGAGATAATGCCCAGTGGATTGCCATGCTATGGAAAGTTTTGTCTGGTGGACATAGAGCAAGAAAGATCTCATTTGTTTTCTGTTCTATGATTTTGTTTTTCAGATATTTTGATGTTTGCTATTTTTGATGAGAACACAATAATCACCTCAGAGAAAATGATAACAAGGAAAGAAAAAAGTGTCCAAAAAAATTGTAATTATAAGTCGGGAGCATCTGACTGAACACGTTCTTGTAGCAGAGTCTGAGAAAGCAGAGCGATCATTTTACACAGATTCTCTCAGGCTTGTGCTTCAAATGTCGGGTCACTCCTACAGGTGCCTCAACTCGGTAACCTCCCCCAGCCAGCCCACCTTTCTAGGGGTGGGAAGGTAGAGATGCTGACCCCACAGGTGGGCTTTTTCTCTGAGTACAACTGCTGGTGATAACTTGTATAGTGGGTGGTCCCGACTCCTCACCAGACAAGCCATGTGTCTCAGGGAGCAGGCCAAAGCTCATGAGACACTGGCCTGTATGAGCAGTGAGCTGGGAGACACTGGCTACCGTTCATCTCCCTGTCTCTCACAGTGAGATCACAGGGTGAACACTGCCTTGGGGGAGATTCCCTTGGACTTGGGACCTGGCAGGAGAGCAAGTCCCCTCGGTCTGTAGGGTAGAAATCATAACAGGTGAATGAGGATTTCCTAGAAGGCAGGCTCTGTGGGAACCATCCAATTCCCCGGCCTCAGGAAACTCAGGGGCTCTTCCACCCTCACCCCCTTCCCATGGTATATGATGGAAAAAGATAGGAACACATCTTAGAGTCTCCCCAATCTCCCACGGTGTTGAAACACGCAGCACGGAGTAAAGTCACTGCAGGCAGCATGGAGCACGGCCCACCACTCTCCCTCTCCTCCCTTGTGCAGTGTGCTGGGCCCTGTGCTCACTCTGAGGAAGGCAGATCTCCTTAAGGTGGATGAACCATTTAGAGACAAAGCATGAAGTGCAAAAAGACTTTGAATGGAGGAAATATGTAGGGAAAACATGGACGGACTCTGGGGTAGGCTGCCTTAAGTTCAAGTCCTCAGTGTAGGTTAGTAGTCAGGAGTCCTTGGTCAGTTTACACTCATCTCTTAGTTCCTTTGCTTTGTTTTTTTCTTTTCTTTCAATGCAGTACTGCTGTGATTTCTAAGGCTCATTTTGAGAACTGCCACTAAAAACACATATTCCTAGAATGGCCCCTGGAGGGCAGAACGGTCATATTTTTGTTTGGTGACTGGCTCCACTCCTTATTACTTGAAGGAAATTTTATGGATCATTGGATTTGAAGGAAATGATATACGTATATACATAGCAGTTTTAACTAGATACTGAGTGGGCGTATACAGATACTAGCATATCTGTGCATACTAATACGTACCAGTGTCTAATTAAAAACTACTTTTATAAGCCAGCAGATCTCTTTCAATTTTTAAGTTAATACCTATTCTCTAATGAAATAAAATGTACCTAAAAACTGAAAACTTGGAAAATCATAAAGAATGATATCAAGAAAGACTCAATATTAATCTCTTGGTGTGTATCATGTATGTGTCTGTGTGTGCACACAAATAAACATACTTCCGCACACACACACGTGATCTCCTATATTTTTAAGTAGTCTCATTCGCTGAAAACTTGAAGATAGCTTCAGAGTTTAAAATATACAGAAAACATTTTCTGTGTCTTCAGGGTTGTTCTGAAACTTCCTATGTGTCCATCATGTGGAGAGTCTTGTCTTCACATTCTCTATAACAAAAATTCAATTATTTTCATTTTTCCTGTGTGATAAATAACAACACTCTGATGCAAGCACTTAAATATTTGCTTTGGACAAATTCCAAGAATCGGACAAGAGACAGATATTTTGATATAAATTTTCAACTAGTTCTCTGGCAAAATTGTACCAGTTCAGTCCCAGTCCCAACAACGCGGGTGTAGCGACTCTCTGCTGCTTCTCCCTGATACTTTGTATACGAACATGAACTAGCAGCCGGTTTTCTTCAGTGAGGTGCACTTAGCTACCAGTCTGTGGGAACAGCGTGCACAACACCAACTCACCTCACATATCTAGAGCTTCTGCTGGTGCTTCCCACCGGGACGCAAGGTTCCCAAGGTCCCTTGTTACTGATTCATTGGGAGCAAGAGGCTTGGGGGTGCCTTGCACACCACTGCCCTCAGCTCGGTGCCATGCACCACTCTCCCGCATGACTACTCCCAGAGTGTCCCTGGAGTCTGTCTGCCCCCAGCCTGCTGTCCCCTGGCTTGGCTCTCCATCCCCTGGGCTTCTCAGCACCGTGACTCAGTCTTGACCAGAGCGTTTTGCAGACTGCATCTGATTTTCCAGTGTCCCCTGCTCAGTGTCCCTGGAGAGGCGCTATGTCTTGATCCTGTGTTCCGTGTCAGCCCACATCAGTCAGCTCTCCACATTCGTTTGTTCAACCTCCTTTGATTCAGGCAAAGTCACATCACAATTATTTTAAAATTCCATCTGTACTGGACATGCACAGACATTTTCTTCTCATTGTTCCCTCAACAATGCAGTGCAACAATTATGCACACAGTATTTACACTGTGTTAGGAATTAGAAGTTACCTAGGGTTGACTTAGAGTATGTGGGAGGATGTGGAGAGGTTACACGCAAACTCCATGCCATCTTATACAAGGGACCTGAGCACCTGCAGACTGTGGTGTCCACAGGGCATCCTGGAACCAGTCTCCTGCAGACACTGGCAGAGGACGGTGCTCCACGCGATTCCAGAGCCCGTCACTCAAGTGAACGTAAGGCAAGTCTGGGAAGGAGTGGGGATAATGGACAGGAAGAAAACACCTTTCCTTAGCCAGGCCATCTCTCTACTCCTCAGACCTAAGTTTGAGGGATTTAGAAGGGAGACCCTGGACTTTCTCTGTCATGGACGTGCTCAGTGCCTAGGTTTCTGCCAGTTTTATACAGATTTACCTCAACAAACTGTAAGTGCAGGATACGAATGAGGAATGAGGCATTTTAAATGCATAGTTCTTGCACATTTGGTTGGAACACATGACCATAATTATTCTAGGTCTATTAGGAAGGCTCTTCCTTCAGAGTCCTTGCTGCCACTTCAACCTAGTCCATCCATACTTTTGAACTCTTGTGCACACATCTCACACGGGACTACCTCATCCTCAGTCAGTGGACTCTTGGAGCTCATTTTTGTTTACTTAGGACCTGATACATTAAATACTGTGAACGCCCTTCATCTTGGTGGAGAAGAGTTTGGGTTCCTTCAGGAAAGGTAGCCCTTTCCCAGCTGGCATCTTGAGCTCTCGTGCCCAGGAAGAGATACCTTCCTTAGAGTGGGCCACCTGTATGCAAAGGGCCACAGCGTTCTTCAAGATTCTTGGGAATCTCAGATGGGAGGGAGCAGCACCAGTGGAAGCCCAGGCTGTTGGAGTTTTGGCAGCAGCTGTCCAGTCTCAGCCCCAGGCTCCAGGCTTCCGGCCTTGAACTGCACATACAACAAAAACTCTAGGCAGTCAGCTATGTCTGAACTGAAAGAATCACGTTAGTGACCTGTCAAGTAGATTGCAAAAACATACTTGGCCCTTGTTATATATGTTACTTTAAAAATAGAAATTCATTGACTCTGCAAAGCAACTGCTGCCTTTATTATCCCAATCCATAGGTGAAGCCAGTGAAATATGGACACTGAAAATGCAAGAAATCTTCCATCAGGGCCAGGGATTTAGCTCAGTGGTTCCGCCGCCTGCCTTGCAGGCACAAGGACCCGAGTTCAATCC